ATTCATTTATTTCAAATTCAGTAAATCCAAAACATAGGTTGAAATACAACCCTGGATATAGAACATGTCAATAATAATATTAAAATAAGTTCCAAACATTGAAACAGTCAAGATAAACAATAAAAACGATATAAAATAGTACACAGTGTAATAACAATTTCATTAAATACAAACAGATTAAAACAAAGAATTTAAATTATCAGTAACATGAATCTTCTATATACAATTCCACCCAAAATATATTAAGTACAAAAGATTATTATGCGCTTTAGTTTCAAGATAAATATAAGCAATAAATATAACGCCTCACATACCAGTTAAATATCATATATACCTGTCACAGTCATACAATAGTCTGAAATCATTTACATAATTTAATGTAATCGTGTGTTAAAAAATAAATTATTAATAAAGTATTATAAAAATATTCATCGGGAAGTAGTTTGGTATGTTCATGTAGTGTGAGGTGAACTGTATATCCAGTGGATCTGATGAGGTTTGGAGTCTGGTTGTCTTCACTGGTCTCTGAACCATACAAATGAAATGGAATTCCAGCAAAGAAAGTCATGCTAATAGGCTGTAATAATTTTATTTCCATAAAAATCACAAGTGATGCAAGTGTGAATTTTCAGTGTCTTTCAAGTACATATGACTGTTGCAGATCACAAAGCTTCTCAATCAATCTGTTTGTTCCAAGAATCCATATTTGGTGATACAACCTCTGGATACAGAACAAGCCAATAACTATATATTAATATAACATACATATTGTACATGAGTCAACAACACAGCAGGCCACGCATAAACACGGAAATTCTAAGAATCTCCTTTCGCAAGATAAACAGGCGGCACAGGACCAGCCACCTCCACGAATAACAATAGGAGATTTGACGTGAACCTGTATGGTTCATAAATTTTAAGCTTGATCTTGAAAGTTTTTAAAACAAACTTTTTTAAAAAAGTTTTAACACCAAGAAGGCTGCCGTGAATGTGGAAGGTTGAACATTGTGTATATTGTGCATTTTAGACATCATATGTATATCCATACATTTAACATCTATTGTAATAGTAGTTTCCGAAAGTACTGATACCCTCTGAGGATGATCCGTAAGGGTCGAAACATGTAAGGGAGATAAATCCTCAAGTAATAAAAATAAAACATAAATAGTCACATTAGACGGTATTATTTTTGCCTTTGTAATTGTTAGTGTGACGGACCAGAATGAAACAAATCAAATTCATTGACTAGATGGTAATACCTTACCAAGATCCTAGCCTAGAATATATTAACAAATATTGAAATCTTTTATGTAATATGCCATATGAAAGGTTAGTTCATCTTGTATTTAAAATACATGTCACATACATATATAATATTTCTGAGAACTAGAACTAGTCCTCTTACAGCTGCATTCACAAAAAAAAAAAAACCCAAACATTAATTCAACAAACATGCATAATTGGGCCGCGCCATAACTCAAGTGGTTAGTCGCTAGCCTCCTGCCGCAGCGGCCCGGGTTCGATCAAGTGGGATTTGTGGTGGACAAAGTGGCGCTGGGACAGGTTTTCTCAGAATACTTGTTGCCCCTGCCAATCGTCAGTCTACCAATTGCTCCACAATCACCCCCACCTATCATCTGGGGCTGGTACAATAGGCCAGAAGTGGCCACAGTACAAGGACTTAGTCCCACCCCACTAGAAATAAAAAATAATGCGTAATTCATCAACCATACAATTAACAGGCATACGGTATAAAACATTTCACTTACATACACAATAGTTCTATGGTTTATGTTGTATTTAATCATGAATGACAACCCTGACAGTGCCATAACTTAATGTTGAGCTGTTCTAAATTTGTCTGGCAACTAAATAGCAGCTGCTTCATTCTGTGTTTTCACAAACTTCTGCTTCAACTTCTAGAGGTATCTCGTGTGCTACATAAGATGTATAAACATCATAGCCAAGTGATATTGTGTTGTCATATAGCACACGGAATCTTGTAGGTAAAAAATAGAAATTAATTATCTGTGCTGGTGGCCACACCACCCAATCTGCAACATATAAACGCCAACCTTTCTGTTTCAGTTGCATCACAAATGTGTTCACATTTGACCTTTCAAGGCATGCCAGTGTAACAAAAAATATTGTTATACAAAGTGGTGAGGTTACAAGTTGATCCACCAAAACTTTCTTCAGCACTGTCTTCAGAGTTCTCCCTGGAAAGAAACTGTCAAGCAATTTGTATGTGTGGTGACAGAATATTCCTACTGTCATGCCAGTAACTGACATATGTAACGTTCTTGTATGATTCCATTTCTGTTGGTCACCTTGTAAGAGCTCATAATGTTGTTGAAGTATGTCCCCAACTCCAGACAGAGTAAGAGAAATACCTACATTTGTTAAAAAAAGATGTTTGTTGAACATGGTGTGGCTCACTGCATGGCACTTTTGGATCACTTCAGATTTAAAAATACGTGCCACTGTAAGTCCAACATATTGCATTCTTGAATTCCTGGTTTTAAGTTGCCTAAAAAGGGTTAAAGAAATTAACTGCTATGTTTAGTCCGTAAGAATAATGCTATAAATAAGTAACAGATGGTAATTACATTTGTCCTTGCGGTTGTAAAAAGAACCAATTTCGTAACTAACGTGCTGAAATGCGTTCAAAACATCTCGTAAGACTTATTAGTCATTTCCTTTTTTATCTGTTCTCAAGGCTGAAGCATGATGAATACCGTCGCATACCTGCTTGTCCGCCTGGATCTCCTAGATATGGCCTAGATACTACAAAGTACAAACGCTACAAACTTTGTCGTTAATCTTTTCTAACCCCAGCACGGACACATATGTCGACACCATTCTCGCTTATGAAATGATTATACTAACATTTACAAAACATTTAGCTGTTAGCTGAGATTTGTCATGTGTGCAACTCGAGTAAAGCAAAGCATCTCATAGGTGATCAAACTGTTAGTCAGCTGTTAGATTATATGTGTGTCGCAAATATACAGTTTATTCAAGACTCATTATGTGTATTTAGTAAAATTCCTTATTTTGTAACTTTGTTTTGAATTGCGAACGGACTAATTCATATACCGTGTACGAATGAAAACATGTACAATGCTCGATTTTGAACTATTATTCCAGTTAATTCGTCAAAAGTTGGCAGCATCTATGAGCAATGATGGCGCAGCTTATGAAGGTCTGTAGTGTCTGTAGTTTTTAGTGTCGTAAGGTGTTCATTTCTACATTTGCCTTGTAGACTTCGTCTGATAATTTTATGTGCCATCAGCAATTGATCGACAGAGCATTGCTGATGTAAATTACAAAGATGTCAGTCGTGAAACAGTTTCGAAATCTTCAAGAAACAGGGAGTGCAAGACTTCAAAATCAATGTGGCGAATGGCGAAACATATTAAAATGTGCTACAATTTCGGAAGAATTTATTCGGCAGTTGGTATGTTCTAGGTGGAGCTTATATTGAAGTAGAATTAAATTAAATTAAATTTTCATCTCATATTTTTTAATCCGCGTTTATCAACCTGTGGCCCGCGATGATGGGAAAGGTGGTCCACAAGCAGACTTAAATTAAATCAAATAAAAAAAACAAGCTTTCTAATTTCCATGAACATTTCAATAACCAGCATTTGTGCCATTGCCTAGATTGTGGGGACATCAAAATCAAGTGTTTGGAGGATCCTGCACGACCAACAGCTTTATCCGTATCATCCAACTCGAGTACACGACGTAGGTCCAGCTGACTTCGTACCACGAGTTCAATTTTGTCAGTGGATACTGAATCAGTGTTTACATCAGCCGAACTTCCTGAATCACGGGTTATTCACAGACAAAACGCAGTTTACAAGGGATGGATGATTCAACTGTCAAAACAGCACAGTTTTCTGTCAGTGTCTTGGTGGGCATCATTGACGATCACTTGATTGGGCCTTTCCTCCTACCACTGCAACTCAATGGGCCCTTTTACAAGGTGTTCCTGGAATGTATCCTTCCGGCTTTGCTAGCAGATTTGCCACCGATTGTGCAGAGGCAAATGTGGATACAGCATGATGGAGCACCAGCACACTTCAGCATTGTATCATGAGACTACCTGGATGCTGCTTTTCATGGTCGTTGGATAGGAAGAGGAGGCCCAGTGCCTTGACCACTCCGATCCCTAGACTTGACACCACTGGACTATTTCCTCTGGGGCCATGTGAAAAGCTTGATCCACGACACGCCCATGGATAATGAATTCGAGGTGCTGGCCAGAATACTTGTTGAATGTGACGTGATCCGTGAGACACCTGGACTATTTGAAATGGTGCGCCCAAGTTTCTTTCATCGATGTAACGCATGCATTGAAAATGGAGGGCGCCAATTCCAACATCTACTCTAGCAGGTGAGTCTAAAGAGTTTGGAGGGAGTAATATGCCTGTGCACGCTCATCGACATTAAGGCCACCCTAGCGCTGCTATTTTACATTTGCAGACATGGGTTCCTATTTCAGAGTTGTTCTATAGGGAACCCTCAGTATGGCACCAAACACCTGGGACACCTGTATGTATGTATGTATGTATGTATATATATATATATATATTGTAACATGTCAACCCACTGTCAGGCAGCGGGATGTGGAACAAGGTTATGCAACCCACTTCTAAGTGCCAGCTGGTAAACAAGACTCCTGTGCAGGCACAATGACATCATAGTGCAGTAGTGAGTAGGAGTCACATCATCTTTGCATTTCTGCAAATGACATCACATATCCCCCCCACCAAGACCACTGCTTTGCAGCAGTCATTAAACAACCCTTCCATGCAACAATGAGGACAAGCTGCATTTTCCATGCTCTCCGATTCAAGTTTACATGACAAGGCCGATCCACAGAGTTGAACAAGAGTGGCAGAAGCAAGCGAAGTGGAACCAGGAATACAGAAGGTCGCCCTACGAGGCTGTCAAGTGTGATTTAGAAGACTTTATGTGTGCGACAGTTCAATGATACTGGAAGTGTAATTAGAAGATCTTATGTGTAATATTTGGAGTGATTTGAAATGACAGTTTCTGTGTGGAGATCTGTTGCTAGGAGGCGCCTAGTGGAAGACAGAGAATCCTAGTGTGTGCGCAATGGTGAACTGGAAAGTGTGTAAATCAGCGATAGCACTATATTGCATGTATTTAATTGTGATTAAGAGTGTGTGTAACCAAGCTGTTAATAAATCCAACCATCAAGACTAGAACCTGATTTCATCACGCATATCCCCCTCCACATGACAATATATATATATATATATATATATATATATATATATATATATATATATATATATACATATACACACACACTTGTAATATCAAGGTTGCAAAGTCTGTTGGTTGGGAACTATATATACTGAGGCCATAGAAAAAGTCAGTGGACAGTGACAATGATGGTACTTAAATTTTCCAACCATTTGCTTACTGTTTTATTCCCCTCTGCCCTTGCTGGCCAGCCAACTCAGAGCAGTTACTACTTGCAACTAATAACATCAAAATTTACAGCATTTTGAATAATCTGATATTGAATTAATGAGGTTTTACTGTATCATCAACCTAATGAAAGTGCTGTACATCTGTTCAACAGATGTCTGTTGCTGCTATACTAATGACTAACAACACACTTGGTCATACTTTGAAATTCTGTAGTATTTCTCTGGTTGATTGGACTTCAGCATCAAATAAGGTTGGGCTAATGTAATTCAGTTTGCTTTATACTGAACAAATGAATGAACAGATGAATGAATGCAGGAATAAATAAGTGAATAATGGGTGGGTACAGACCGGTCCTTGCAGCACAACCATTATTGATTTAATTAACTGATGTTACATTAGTTCTGTGTTGAGTCTACTGAATGTAAATGAAACATGAATTCTGCAACAAGTATGACAGTAGATGTCATGAGCATGCACCAGAATGACTTCTGTAAGGTCACTGTATTGCAGAGTTGTACTGAATGTGATGATACGATTTGTTGTTGACCACTTTCTTACTTTCATTACAGAATCAGGTAACTCACCTGTAGTTCTGAGCTGATGTTCTTCTATCGGTGCTAGACTACATCAGAGGGAATTTTATTACCTGCATGAGTTTAATGGCAAAATTGACTACTGATTCACTTCATTCAATTTATACACTTTTATGTAGCGGTAAGTAACTTGTGTGTGAAAATCTACTAGATATAGATTACTTTTATATATATTTATTTTTCTAGTATATTTTTATTGTAAAAGGGGAAAATATATATATGAATTATTCTTGAAATTCTTTCATCGCAACATGTACTGTTATTTTTATTACTAATATAAGATTTAAGTAACCCTCCAGTAAAATTTCTGTACCTCTTTACAGTACAGTGACAAGTTGCTTTAAGTTGGTTAGTCCCTTCTGTAATTATAAGCATTTAAATTCCTCTCTTGGTCGGTAGGTCATTTACAAGAAATAAACTGTCTATCAATACAAATTGTATCTATATTAATCAGTAAAAATGTTCAATTTTATATGGAAGAACCTTATATATTTCAATTTCCAACATTTAGTTTATATAGTGCCAAAGAGGTGTGATATCACACCAAAAATATAGGATTCTTTTCTCTGATATCACACCAAGGCCAGGGGATGGCTAACCAGGCCTTGCTCTGATTTGACACAGAGGTCCAGGTAAGAGTTATAAAAGTCTGCATTATGCAAGAGTGACAGGCATGTGGAAGTTTAGAATAACTGTTAACGGAATTTAAAATGAAAGATTTGGTCACCGTATTGTAAAACTGTTCCAGAATCACGCACACAATACAGTGAAAACAGTTGTGTCCTACAGCTTAAATGGTTTCAGCTTCTCCAAGTAGAATTCATGCTTCTCCATGGTTGCCAAAACACCTTTTGTGTTAACAGTATCTTCAGAAGAGTAATCCAGAACTTCATTTGACAGTGTTGTCATTTTTCCACCAAGGGCATTAATGATGGCATTGCCAGCGCAAATATCCCACTTCTTAATTTCCGTCATGTGAAGATAGGCATCAACATGTCTGCTCACCACCTCCAATGACTTGTACCCTAGAAAGGAAAGAACCAGGGATAAGCTCTACATGTAAGTACCAATAACTAATTCACCCCATGGTACAGGGTCCTCCTTGAGCAGCTGGTCAAGACAATTCCTACTGTTAATGGAAGGCAAATGTTGACCACCATCTTCACAAATGCTCATTATTGAACTGTCTGCAATTCATACCTTCAGTCTGGTTTCCAATGATCCATCTTTATACAAAGGGTCTGAAAAATAATGGTGGGGTTTCAGAGACTCTGTCTCCAAATACATTAAAGGCTTCACACTGAATCCTGTACCTTTACATTACTCCACTCAAACGAGATTGCTACAGTGTGTGTGGCAAGTAGTAAGAATTGGAATATTGACTGGACATATGCAGGGTCACAAACAGTGCACATGTGGAAACTTGCTAATTATGTTCCAAACTATTTGAGATACATTATAAAATGAACTATTAATTCCTTCAATTTGTTTCACATTTCACTAAATATTTGTTCTCAAAACCCAACCATTATTTTCTGGACACCCTATGTGATCTTTTCTCTTGAGGTTTCACAACTAAAATATCAGATAAAAATTGTTTCCTCCATGCACCGTTCAGCTCATCCTCCTCATTAAAAATATTATAGGATGAGTAAGAACTGAAAGCTGAATCATTATGTAATTTTCTTAATTTTCCTATCATGTATTTTATCTTGGATCCAAATATTTTGTTCATAACTTCAAAGTATCTGTTAGTTAGTTAGTTATTGGAGAGGGTGGGTTTCCCCATGCACTTAGACCTGTATTGGTCCACTGTGCTTCCTTCTATGATGTCTACCAGTCTCTATATCCTACCGGTACTGGTGCTTACCATCAGTCTCGCCCAGCCAGCGAGACCGGCTCTACTAGCTGAGAGGTATCTATAATGCTTCCCCCATCTACCAGAGGTATTAGAGACTGCTGTTGGGTGGGAAATGTCCGTAATTTGGCTCAGTGACCTCCTTTGGAGATATGAGGTTCTTTTACGTGCTGTAAAGCTACAACACGGGACCCACGGCTTAAAGTCCCTCCCAGAGGACTTGTTCCCTGAATTTTTCTGCCCTTAAAAATTCGACGACCTCCGCCGGGCATTTGAAAGTATCTGTTAACTATATTTATATTTTATAACGAATTTATACTAAAAAAATGAATGAACCATACTGGTATTTGAAACAGATTTCCCATACAAACTGGTAGTATCAATAAGCTTTTCTTAGTCTCTGAACATATTAAACAATATATACATACCTGCCCCTGCTGCAGGAATGATCTTGAGATATTTTCCAAATGCCTGTTCAGAAATATTCTTAGCCAAGCCCGGGTGAGACATCGACATGATTATCCTTATACCAGAGCTCTCCTCGGCCTGAAACACAAGAGGTAAATATGAAGACTTTGTCATGATTGATTTAATACAGTTCCACCCTCTTTCTACATGAACTAATTTCCATTACAATTTGCATAATTTTTGTAACTGTGTTTGTTTTGTGTATATTTTGTAACCAAACTGAAAATCTAGGAACGTAGGTTTTCTTAGGCGTATGCATGTCCCAGATTTTCAAGATCAAATCCAGAAAAAACATATCTTGATCTTCAGTCAAACTTCATTCTCAGACTTAGTTAAAATGGAAGATGAGCTTCTTTCCATTTTAAGGGTCATAAATCTACAGGTCATCATCAACTTGAATGCTATATATACACACACACACACACTCAAGGCATATCCACAAAATAAATTTCGTTCACAAATATTGCCGCCACAGTCCTGTGGTCACAGTGTTGCACATGCATGCAGACTTTATTGGTCCTTTCGAAAGGCACAGACACCATTTGCAGACAATCAAACTGTGTTTGTGCATCATTCTGTGTGTTTACAATGTTCAAGAATATTGAGAAGCCAGCCACATGTGAAATGCGGTCTGTAATCCACTTCTTGAATGCCAGAAACATGAAGCTAGCTGACATTCATCATCAACTTTGTGAGCTGTATGAAGAACATGCCATTAGTGATTCAATGGTATGAAGATGGGTGAGACACGTTAATGATGGACGCAAAAATGAGCATGATGATCTGTGGAGCAGCCAACCATCTGTGGGTAATGAAAATTGGTGAGTGGTGTGGAAGAGAAGATTCCAGAGAACAGACAGTTCACCATTTTGTCACTTTCCTGCATTTTCCACAAATTTCATGGTCACTTCTTTGTAAAACTTTGTCTTGGAAATTGTGTTCACACTGGGTGCCGAAGATGCTTACAGAAGAACACAAAATGGCAGGCCAGTGCGTTGACCTTTCTGACATGATACAGTGAGCAAGGTGATGACTTCTTGAGCCACAGTCACAGCAGACAAGACATGGGTGTTGCACGTAACACCTGAATCGAAGCAGCAGTCCATGGAGTGGAGGCATACATCATTGCCAAAAAAGAAGAAATTCAAACAGACCATTTCAACTCGCAAAATCATGTACACAGTGTTTTGGGACAGAATCACATTCTGCTTGTGGAATTCTTGCCTTAAGGCTCAACAATCAACACAGGTGTCCATTGTGACACACTTAAGAAATGATGTCGTGTGATCCAGAACAAGCAACGTGGCATGCTTAATCAGGGTGTTGATGTTTCAAAGCAATGCCTGCCCACAAGCTGCTGCTGTAATACAAGACCTGATCACGACATTTGGCTGGGAACAATTCAAACATCCCCCCTCCCCCCTACAGCCCAGACTTAGTGCCAAGTGTTTTCATATGTTCCTGCATTTGAAAACTTCCTTGGTGGCTGGTGATTCCACAATGACAAAGAGGTCAAAGAAGCCATTAACACATGGTTTGAATCGCAGGTGGCATCATTTTACGATGCACAGATACAAAAACTGATGCCCCACTACATGTGTCTCAACAATGACGGAAACTATGTCAGAAAGTAGCGTAAGGTATGTACATCAAATGGCAATATAAATGGCTTGGAAATAAATTCTTGTTTTTTTCAATAGCCCATCAGTACTTACTTTCATGGCACAGTTCACACTACCATACTATGAGAGTAGCAAATGAGAAAGTGATAGAGACAAATATGTTTAAGGGGCAGATGCCATGAGACTGCCCAAAATACCATCAAAGATATGGAACAAATGTGGTAATTCACCAGTTTATACCATGAGATTCTGTGCTAACAGGAGTGTTGCTTAACATAGAAATGGCACATCATATTAAGAAAAGAAGTATTAGTGTGAGGCTACTGATTATTATGACCTATAGCTCCATGGATTTCCTCAGTCCCTCTAGACATTCAAGGATAGCACCTTGATTTGGACACAACTTCAAATATGCTTATGAATCTCTGCCCTCGACCATCTTGGTCGGTCCAGACTGAAACCAAACTAAAGAAAAAATATACATAAGGTAGCCACATGCAGCCATCTATTTACCCTAGACCTAGCAAATGACCACCAAACATTAAGAGACAACCCAAATCACAGTGTTACTCCATTATCTAGTTGTAAAAAAATCCTGGTGGCCCCTAGCTGTATAGTCTACCAACCTGTTGACTGCACCATGCATCAGAGTGTGCAGTGGTGTGAGTTTATATAAGTAGCCAGTCCCTCCTATCAGACAAGCCAAATGATTTGTTATGAGGCAGTCATTGCTTATTTGGAAGTAGTCCTCATACTGGAGACTGAGGAAAATTTTAGGAACTACAATTCAAACTGCATACATTCAGAATACAATCCTCCACAATCCAAACAGGTACCAAAGTAGAGGCACGGAAGGTGAAACTGTGTCAAAGTGGAATAAACCTGTCTTACCTATGTAATGCTGAATGATGCCGTTTCTCAATATTATTACAAAAATTAGTTCAGGGGTCACTTCGTGTAGCAACAAATTCTATCGTTTGTACCCCTAGTGAAATTTTTTCAGTATGCTATTGACAGTGGACAGTTGGCTATATGGAAAGACTGAAGAAAACTACAGGAACCTCGTTTGGGTAACTTACCTCTGGGCCAAGATTTGAACCCAGGACCTCTTGATTATAAAGCAGAGTTCTAACCAACTATATTTCAATGCTCAGTTGCATTTTTTTTTCTTTATCTCATAAATCAGAAAATGTTGGATAATCCATGGACACAACCACCAAAATTTATGTATATGATTCTTATAGAAAACTGACCTCTTAACTCTTTGACTGGCGCGAAGGGTATTTAAATCCCACCCCTGTCCTGGCAGGCCCTTTAAACCTTATGTCGCTAAAATGCATGTAGTTACTTTTTCCTAAACAACTTCAACAAAAATTGGTTTTTAAAAACGAAATTTTCAGGAACTAATTAAAATACAATATATTATGCAATAAATGCCTTTCCATACCTCTTTATTAGTTTTTCTTCATGTGATAAACATTGAAACATGAAAGTTTGCAGAGAGCCACACCACAGCCTGCACACATGATACTTGTTTCTTTTCTAACCTTATGCTTAGCACTCACGCGACACTTTCTCAGGGCACCATTCTTCTTATTGTTACTGGGAGGAACATGGACCATTTTGTGAATTTTCAAGCCACCCTCTAGACGATTTACTGGCTCTTTCACTGGTGGCCTTTTCAAGGTCGAGGG